AATAATATTGAAAAACTAGTAAGATTAAGTGGCAAAATAAGTAAAATAATTTCGTAATTTCTTTTGAATAAAAATGAAATTAAAAAATTGGTGGAAATAAACAAAATTGAACATTTCCATGTTCGATCATTGGAAATGATAATGTGCTAAATAATTTATAGATTAAATTTTAATTGACACTTTTTTCTGTAAAGGTTCTTCGCATGCTTGAAATGTACAGCTCCAGAGATGCTTTGTAATATTTTTCCGGAATCGCTTATTCATAAAACAATATGTTATCGGATTTGCACATGCACTTATATGGGTCAATAGTGTTATATACGTATTCGCCCTTCTGTTCCACAGATGAATCTACAAACTTCGTTTATGGTCTTTTTTTTTTTAAATTTGCAACTATTTCAATATAACCGAAAGAATTACTGATAACTCGTAAGAATGGCAAATATCTTAATCGATGATGACTCCATAAACTTTATTTTGATCTTAAAGTTTTGAGATAGTTAATTTTTATGAATTCTTTTAAAATCACACATAGAGGCATCTTCTTCTAAGATCCGAAACTTTTGAAACGATATTATTGCGTTTAAATTCAAAAAAGTTTTCGAATTATTAGACACATGTAAATTAAATTGCATTCTTGTAAGCTAACTGATAAAACTATTGACTTTCGTAGAATTAGTTTTTCCTTTTTTTCTGAAATATTTAATTGATTTTTTCTTTTAAATTTAGTACTGCATAATCTAAACACATTAGCATTATTTTATTGGAATTAAAATTTCGAACGTAAAGAAATCATTTGAAGTTTCATACCCGAGCGAGATCAGATGTTCTAATTATAAGCCACCAAACAAAACTCGGTGTCCAGCAGATAACGAAAGCACTAACAATGATAATTAGCATTCTAATTACACGTCGTTTTGCTTTAATTATTTTTTCCTAAATAAATTTTTACTATTACAATCATTTGCTTTTTCTAAAAATTAAAAAGTTATGCGATTAAATATGACTGAATTTTGATCATTGAGAATTTCATTCGCATTTCATTTAAGTTGAAGGATGTGACATAAAATAAAACAAAAATGCAATTACCATCTGATCTTATCAGTAAAGCTTCTCTCTTTTCTGTCTCTTATTCCTTCTCTCCCTCTCTCTTATCAGTAAAGCTTCTCTCTTTTCTGTCTCTCATTCCCTTTCTCCCTCTCTTTCTCTCTCTCCGTTTCAGTAAATAATTATAATAATTCAAAAATTGTAAAAAAACAGACTTTCAGAAAAAATACTTATTGGAATAAATAACCTGATGATTGCTTCGAAGCATATAACCATATTTATAATTACTACCCGTTTTACTGCCACCAACTGATGATGATCGAAGGGTAGGAGCGCTATTGAAACTGGAAGATTTGCAAGGTTTTAATGAAGTTAAAACTTTCCAGAAAATTGACAATTTTCACTTTTGATTCAGTCAAAAATTAAATTTTCACGTGATAATTTTGATGATTTTGATAACTTCAACGCGATGATTTTTTTGATAATTTTGTGATAATTTTGATAACCTGGAAAGCTTAGATCGAGTGTCATACTCACACGCCTCTCTGCTTGATATATTACACGTCATACTTAAAGCGGTAGTTTTTCGTTCTGAATCATTCACCCAAGCCTATAATTGAACATATTCTCAGAAAATATAAGATGACACAAATTATGCAAAGCACTTAAGCCATTTTATTTCCAGTCATTCGTAATGATTTTCCAAGCAGTTAATCTTTCGATTGAAACATTTGAGATTAAAATGTTTGTCAGGTTCGGAATGATCCTTGTAACTTTTCGATCCGGAATGATTCATATATTTTTAATTGTCTCATAAGGAAGTGAAAAAAAGGAAGTGGTTTGAAATGGCAATCAATTCGTTGTCGTGTGCTTTTGCTATTCAAAGTTCAGAGCAATAAAACTGATATTGCAATATTGGAAAATGGAGGAGATACTTCCGTTTTTTCTCAATTTCAATTTTTATCAAATTTCAATAGTGATAATTTAAGTTTGAACATGAAACGAAAGGTGTAATTGAAGGAAATTTTATTTCGTCCAATGTTATTTGCAATTTGTAACTCTTTTTTATGAAAAAGCACATTTATGAAATCTTTATGAAGTTATTTCCAAAAATAAATAAATGAATTTTAAACGGTTACAAAAATATGGTTACTAAATTTTTTTTTTAAGAGATATGTTGGTTCAAAAACTTTTCATATCAAAAAAGTTGAAATTCCCAGCATAATATTAGTAAAAGGAAGGGAATTACAAAATTATTTTAAAAAATTTATTTACAAACCATTTCACTGAAATAATGATTTTATTGATGAGAAAAATATAACTTAACTTACAGTATAAGAGACATTGAGCTCCTTACTGGCAAATGATGGATATAACCAACTTGAAAATGTCTTTCGTTCTATCTCACCTATATTATTCATCATTATCATTAACAAACAATGAAAAAAAATTATTACCATGATTTTTATAAATTTCATTTTTTTATTTAATTAGTAAACTAAAATTTTCGAGTTGAAAAATTTAAAAAGTTAACTATTACTTGGATAGCATTCCGTATAACTATGAAACTCTCCCGGTCTTACTTCTAGTTGATTGTTTGAATGAAGCGTTTTGATTATCTTGCAATATAAAAGCAACATAACTGTTAGTGGTATGAATAATAATAGCTGAAATAAAATTTCATTGTAATTTTGTTTGAGAATCATTGATTATGTTACCACGATAACCTTTGGATGGGATGATTAAACTAACCATTGTGACATGGATTTGATAAAGGAAATCTGTTAACGGAGTAGCAGTGGAACGACAACTCCAATGTGTTCTGTACGGAATAGCATCATAAATGACAAGTGCGCCAACATTGCTTCCAAATGACGTTAACCAAACAAACGATATAAGTGCCAGTAGACGACGCTGTAAAAGAAAGAAACGATTATTCAAATGATATGAGAACAGTTGGCTGTCTCCTATGGACAAATTTAATAATTGTAGCGCTTTTTTTATGAATTCCAAAAGATTTTATCAAAAATCCTGCAAAATATATTAGCATAATATTTTAATAAATTTTTTTAGCATTTTTCATCCTATAACATTAATGATTGATTATAGTTTAGGCATAAATCGATAATTATGAATGATTTCGACAAAAAAATTTGATTTAAAATTGGAAAAAATTTTCTCTATTATTCAAATTGCATTTAAATTAAACCTTTGAAAGCCACACCATCGATTCCAGTGGACGACATATTGCGTAGTAACGTTCAAGTGCAATTAGAGCTAATGTATAAGCTGATGCGCAAACTGTCACAGCTAAAGTAATAATATGAATTATTCCAATGAATCAAATTTCTCTTACTTATACCTCTCCGTACTTTTATTTCATTTTGTTTTAATGCACAAAATATTGCAGTGAACTACGGAGCTGAAAAATCATAATGTAATTAAATTTGCATTATGATTTTCAACGACATCAAGAATTTTATTGGAAAAATTAGCGGAAATGTAAAAATTTCCATTGAAGCAGTTTTTTTCATACTAAATTGTTCGAAAAATCAAAAATGAACACCTCAAAGGGTTAAAAAAAGTTCAAAAAAATTCATGAAAATGTAAACTTACGCTGCAAATAAGCAGCAAATTTGCATATATGTGGTCCAAGTAACCAACATTGTGATATTTCACTCATTAAAGTTGGTGGTATGCAAATTATTGATCTAAAATGCACTCATTAATAATATTGTGTGACATGAAAGATTTTTTTTAATCGTTTATTATTTCAATTCAATAAAAATTTTAATTAAACCGAGAAAAAGAACGAAAGAGAATATTTAAATGAATATAAAGTTTACTACTTGAATATTATTAAAATTTAATTCAGATAAATTATGCATAAATCAGCCCAAATTAATAATCAATTAAACAAGCAAAAAATAATAATAATTTAATTTTGGCTTTAGTAGTTAATAGCAATTATCATTCGTTTTCAACTTCTTTGAACTATTCCATGTGACATTCTTTCACATTTGAAATCAAAAAACATCTATAACTTACCGTAACAAATCAGCAACTGCTAAATTGAACAATAATATATTGGTGATTAAATGTGTGCTACGTCGTTGAAGTTTGATGATAGTGAAAAGAACCAACGAGTTGCCGATAAATGATAGGATGAAAATAGCAGCAAAGCATAAACCGACAAATATATTGTAAGAAGTGAGTTGTAGCGTACACTCTCTTATCACTCTATCGTTCACTGTCCAATTTATCATCCCTAATTTAAGGTCATTTGTTAGCCGTAATATCGTCTATGTAAAGGTTAAATTGAAGAATTTATCAAGAATTTTTAGTTCTTTGGTTGTTTTTATATTGTTTCTGCTTTTATTAAAGAAAGGCAATATCCATTTGATAGTTGGTTGCCTAAGGCTATGGGTGCTTCCATTCCTGCTAGTTGCTCGGTTCATAGTTTAAATGAATGCAATAAATTTTTTTTTCTATAATGGACTGAAAAATGATCCTTACTGGAATATTGCTTTTCAGAGTAACGAAATAGATATAATAGTTTTTTGTTACTAATTTAACAATTTATTTGATTGATTGACTGATTGAGGAAGAAATCAACATTGAAAGCATTCTGAAAAAGAAAAGTTTTTTATATTGAAGAAGTACGAATAAAATGAAATAATCTTTAATGAATAATCTTTCAATTGGTAACTAAGGCTGACATTTTTAATAATAGTAATAAGAGAGAAAGAGGGAGAGAGGGAGGGAGGGAGAAAATAAAAATGATACTCATATTGTTGATGAAAAAACAAATATCAGAAAAGAAAAAAATTGAAAGTAAACGGAATATAAAATTTAAATGTATGAATGAAACATTTATGAGTGAAAATGAAAGATTCATTAATAAAATGATGAAATTAATTGTAAATGAGAAATATGGACGGCAGCAACTTAATGGATTGGACAAAAATGCCTGAGGAGTTAATACAATTATATTTCAGTAAATCTAATCAGTTATAGATTATTCTTTTCAATATTATCATTCGTGCAAAATATTTCGTTATATTGATTTTTCATTTACATTATTATTTGAAAATTTTCTATATTACGATTAAATTCATTAATTTCAAAATTCAAAAATATCATCCTTCTTTTGTAAATTTTGAATTATATTTTGTAAAATCGAGTTGTATTAAAAACTGGAGCAAATGGGTCTGAATTTACAAACAGTTTTATGAAATCATTATTATAGTATTCAGAATATTATGGTTTTATGTCAATAAGCCAAGAATTGCATAGGTAAGAATTGAAACAGACTAAATGCTACAGATTTTATCTATTCATTTGAACTATTTCTTTAATACATAAATTTCATATCATTAATTTTTTTAATGCATGAATTTCATATCGAAATCGTTAATATTAGTGATTTGAACATTATTAAATTGTATAAATTTTATTTCGTTTTTTCCTCATAATAAAAATAACAATCAAAATTTTTGACAAATGCATCGGAAAGTAATTTAGAATTCAAAATCAGGCAATGAAGCCAAAAAAAGTGATTGTTTGACAAAAAGAAAAATATTTACTCGACTTGATTCACAAATAAGTTGCAAATAAATTTGCATACTAATATATTCGAGTAGATGACATTGGACTTGTTTATTTAGTTTTATTTGATGAAAATTATTTCAGACAGAAGTAATGTTCTAACATTAATTATATTTCGTCTGAATACATTTTCTCAGATAATTTTAATTTAAAGAAAAGAACATATTAAAACAATACTTTATCAGTGAAATTGCATGTATTAATTTGTAAATAACAGAAAATTTGAATTTATTATTATTAAACATATTGAAATTTTAACAAGGAATAAAAGTGGCAGATGTTTGCAGAGAAAATGATCAATTTGTTAATAGTAATTTTCTAATCTTTCCAATATTTCATACTTTTAGATACTTGTAATCAAAATCGCATGACGAGAAAAGAAAATGCGAAGTTTTTTTTTTCTAAAGGCTACTGTATTACTATGTATAAATTTAGTTCATATATTTTTAAATTGTCGTCTGAAATTCAAAGTACTTCAACTAAAAAGTTCTTATGTTTTTCCAATATGTGTCATTTTTAAGATAGTTAAATGATGAAAATAATTTTATAAATGAATTTTAAGAAATAAAAATTAAGGAAATGTAAACTTGTTAACAAATTGGAAAATGTCTGAAGCAAATGACTTACCTATACAGATAAACAAAACATCACTAAGATGTCAACAGTTGTTCCTTTCAATTTTTTAAACACTCATAAAATCCGATGGCAGTTAGATTTGATCGACCACATGCTCAATTGCTAGCGTAATTATTGATCAATTTGAAGAAAACAAAAATAAACAAACGATGAATAATTAATTGCATTTAATAATATTATAATGATAAAAAGAATTCAAAAATGAAAGAACATAAATGTCAAAATAATTTTTATTTTCTACGTGGAAATTTTTATCGGAGTGAAATTATTGATAAATATTGGAATGAAATGAAATGAAATGAAATTTATTTCACACTCATTTTTGCATATTTTTTACGCAGAATGATATAAATTTCTATCATTAAAATGTCCTTGTAACTCAATCAAATCTGAGGATGAATTTGGTTTAGTTTTTAATCGATCAGTTTTAGAAAGAGAAAATTGAATTTTAGAGGATAAAAATGTCATAACAAAGTGCTAAAATTAAAAAGCTTCTCTCTCTTACAGCTAACGTAATTAGTACAAAGTCTCGTCATAATGGGAAGAAATTAGATTGAAGAAATCAATAATTTTAGGCACTGAGGATAATCAATGTCAATAATGTCAAATATAAAACAAAGTAGTTTTTTAATTATTTAAAATAATTGGTTGTTCAAACTTTTTTTTGTAAAAATCAAAGTGAGCGTCTGATGTTTTTTTTTTGGATGAAATGAAAATTTCAGAATGACCGAAATGAGAATACTACTCATCTTTTAATTAATTAATATCCTAAATCCTATCATTCTAATCTCATTTTAAAATTTTTTATTTCTTTGAGAGTGGAGAGAGAAAGAGAGAAAAAAGGGCGGGCGATCACTGAGATTTTAAATTCAAAAGCGAAAAAAGATGGCATTTATCATTGCTTGCATCATTTGATCTGTCGCTATTGAATTAAATCTACAATGAAGTTTGTTATCACTCACTACCAGTGAGACCTAACAGTAGCAATCAATGCGAAGTAACGAAAATGAAGTAGTTTAAATTGGAAATAGAAATAACATGCTTAAAATTATTTACAGGAAATTGTAATAAAAAATATTTTATACTATAGATCATTTCTTTAGCAGATTTAAATTTCCAAAAGAAGAAATTTGTTTCTCGAAATTATTATCAAATTCCGTTAACTTTTTTCTCTTTGCTAATAATATACAAAATATGCATCCATATAATTTTTCTTTATTAGCTATTCGGGAATGATATTTTTTCTGGAAATGGTAGACAAATAAATGAAGTTTTTTTTCTCGATAAGTAAATTTTTTTTTTTGATAAAAATATCACATTCAAACAGTAGGAGTAGTAACTGAATCTGTTGCAACAATCTGGCTGGAATCATATAATAGTGAAATTAAAAAAAAAACATAAATCGATTAGGTACAAAAAAGTTAAAAGTTCATTGCACTTTTTAATTTTAAGAAAATTTATGATTAAAAAATGCATTAAAAAGAAATATTTGAAATATATTTCCATATTTTATGCTTTGCGAACATACGTTGCGTCTTGGATAAATACGTAGAATATTTGACATTAAGTTCATATGACTTTCACAAAACAGGCGTTACTCATTCAGATAGCCATTAGCAAGTGAATCTCTCATAACAGAAATGCTGTTAATGATTCCGTTACTCTTCTGCGACACTATCATTTTCACATGATAAATTGTTTTGATGAATTCTGTTTTACTATTTTAAATTTCAAAAAAAAAATAAACCAATTAAAGCAATAAAGAAAGACTTAAAAAATTTTATACTTCAGAAAATCAATCTAAAGTTTTAAAAAATCTATAAACAAAAAGCAAGAAAAAGACCTAGTTTAATTTTCACTTTAAAAGTTTCCTTTTTCCAAATTCCAAAATTTTAAAATGTAAACTTTTGACAAATTAATTCAAATTAGGTCACATCGATTGTAGCTTGGAGGAAATTTTGTAAGTACATGATTGGAGAAGATATTTGTGTGAGATTCATTTCGAAAAAAATTGAGAGAAGTACGATGCAAAAAAATGCAGTCTATAATTTCTTTTTCAGAGGTCAAAGTGATACGATGATTTGTGAATACATATGCCAATTGAAGATTTGTTCTATTTTATGAATAAAAATTATAAGATAAAATCAATTGAAAAAATCAACCATTAAAAATAAGAGAAAAAATTTTCTTTTAAATTTTTTTGTTTCTTACCTGATATATTTTTCTTTTTGAGTGTGCTATATGGTATGAAAATTTTATCAGTGAATGTATGCTTTTTCATGAAATAAAATTTCATTGAAATCAAAAATTTGGTAAAAATGTTTAATTTTTAAATGTGTAAATTACACAAGGTGATCGTTAAAGATAACGATAAAAGGAAAAAAGAGAGATGGCGAAATATCAGCCATTTTTGTATGAAAAATAGTAGAAATGTATTGATAAAAGTGATCTTTCTCATCTTCATCATTCAGATCAAAGGTCAAAAATCTTCGCTATTAAATTTGATGAAAAATTATTTTAATTTCTTTTACTGAACATGTGAAAGATTAATTATATATTGCAGCAAAGTTTTCATTTAAACTTCAATGTTTTGTGTGAAAATTTTATAAAATGGAAGTGAAATTGTGTGTCAAAGAAAGATGTTTTAAAATGTATCAAAATTTTTTAAGAAGGAAAACATCAATAAAAACAGTCCATGCAATTGCCGGGTATGACAGATTTCAATTTTAGAAATCTTTTTTTAAATGATACATCCATAAAATATTGCTGTTTTCACGAGAGTAGCAAAAGCCTTACATATTGAAAGAATAGTTAATCGATAACATTGAAAAAAACTGTAAAAAAATTGTTACTAAAAATCTCAGAAAAAGATTTTGACTAACAACAAATTCATAGCAATCTACTGTACTTGGCTAAGACTTTTGAACTGAACTTGGCTAGGAATGGATTTCGAATTGATACATCGCAATCGTAGATGGCCAACATCAATGAAAAAATGTAGAAGTGAGAAAGATGGACAAAA